TATATATATATATATATATAGTTCTAGAAGAAACAATGCATACATATATACACATATGCATATAATAATTGCAAATAGAAGAGGAAGGTACCTTTCTTTCGAAGGATAACCACTTGATGCAAGTATAATCCAGCGCAAGATGGCCGTTAACAGATTTATCGAGTAAAGTAGTTGAAGGAGTTGACGCAAAATCCGCGAACTCGGTCTGGACCTGACCGCTGAGCGTGTCCCATATCTATGCAGAGAAAATGTTGAGATGCAACAGTGAATAACTGTTGAGGAAGGGAAAGGCTTAGAAGAAAGAAAGGATATAGAAAAAGGAAAACCTTGACGCGACCGTCTCCAGCGGTGATAGCGAAGAAGTCTTGAGAAGGATTGAAAGCTGTCAAAATGCCTCTGATGTCCGTTGAAGCCATAGCAAACGGTAGAAGCTCGCAAGCCGCTGGGAGAAGAAGGAGTGAGGGTTCGCGTTTGCAACAACAGAAAAGAGGGAAACAAACTAGTTTCGTATCGGATCGAGTCGGGTTGCTTTTAAGTGTTTTTGGAGCACGATTTTCTTTTTTAATTGCCTTTTTGTTTTGCGGATTACCCATTATTCAATATGGGCTTATACTCTTCGGCCCAAACAATTAAAACTTTTTGAAATTTATTATCACTATGTATAAATTATAAAGGTTCCACTTAGGGATGGTAAAAATATCCGCACCCGCGGGTATTTGTGGGTAAAATTTGTTACGGATAATAAATGGATAGGTTAATTGGGTACCCGCGGATAATGGAAACAGATAATTTTTTACCCGTTTATAAATGGGGAGGGGGCGGGTATGATGATATCCATACCCGCGGGTACCCGTTTAATAATATTTCTTAAATATCCTAATTATTTTTGTACCACATAATCCTAAAAGTACACTCTCTCGTCTTAGTTTCTTACAAAAGTGAGGTTGATGAAGTTACCAACATGTGTTAAGCATGTTATAGAATTATGTTGGATATAATTTGATTAATTTTCTAGCTTTGATTGGACCAATAAAATTTATGTATTTTAAGTTGTTTACTTTCGTTTGGAATTATGAGATTGAATTATTGTAGCTTTGTGATGAGACTTTAACTTGTAAGATTGATGTATTTTAAGTCATTGATTATCTTATATTTTTATTATTATTTCAACAAAATTAACGTTAAATACAAGTTCAAAATTAACATTGAATTTTTATTTTTAATATTTCAATGACATTAAATATAGACTTAAAATTATTTGTAATATAATTTTTTAATTTTTTAAAAAATTTATAAATATCCGTGGGTATTCAAGAAATTCATGGGTTTTACAAAAATGTGATATAAGCTCAATGGATACCCGCGCGGATATGGGGTGGATATGGGGACAATTTTTATCTAGCGGGACGGGAGCGAATTTACTATTACCCGCCCCCATGGGGCCCCATTGCCATCCCTAGTTCCACTCTACTTATTCATTCTATCTCTCATTTCAATACTTTCTTCTCTTGTTAAGATGGTGAACTTCATTCTCCTCAAGCATGTTTGAATAAAGTTTTTTTTTTTTAAATAGAGCTTCTTTACAAAAAATAACTCTTTATTTTTAGTAGAGAAACTCCCTAACACTTCTAACTTATATGCAAATGGGTCATTAGTATTTTTTTTTATCAAATAAACAACATCTATTATCTAGTGGTAGGGGTGGCAATGAGCCCAATTATAAGCCCAAAGACTTATTATGATGGGGACGGAAAAAAATTGTCGTTGTAATTATTTACATGTTTTATTTTAAATAATGTAATTCATTAGTTAAAGTTTATAAGTAGTAAATGAAGTGAATGGTAAGTTATAAGAAGGGGGTTGGATTGTTTTGTTCTTTAAAATCAGTTATTTATGAAAATATGCTCTTCAAAAGGTAATCTTCTAAGTATTTAAACTTAAAGTATTTTTCTATATCGTTTATGATCTAACTAGTTTTCACAATAGAATTTGTGCAACAACAAAATAAAAGATGTAATAAGGCAAACAAAACAAGTAAAGAGATGGAATTAGAGAGATTGCACACAAAATTTTATACTAGTTCACCTTAATTGGAGTACATCCAATCCACACACAAATTTGTGAGATTTTCATTATCACACTTAACTACTATTCAAGAACAATTCAGTCACTTATTAATATAAGAACACTACTACACGGTCACCTACAATTAATGATACACACTTAACCACTTTATGAGATTTCCATACTTAACAACTTGTTGAGAAAATCAACCTCACAGACACCTCCAATGAGATTACACGACCATTGTTGTGATTCCTTTCTACCTTCCTATATCTCTGCACACTTTGGTCTAGGTAGAAGAGATTTTACAAAAATGGGTTTTATAACCTTACGCATAACTAAGATGATAGCAAGTTCCTTTATAGTGGAGCTTTCACTAGGGAAGAATTGCATTTCTTTTTCTATTACAAAAATGATACAAAATAATGAAGTGGAGTTCTTTAAATGAATTAGAGTATGAGGCAAATATTACAACTTGATATCTTGTGTTTTGCTAACTCTCTTTGATATTGCTTGCTTAAAAAATGTAGCATTAGTCTTCCTTTTATAACCATTGAAATAGATTCGTTGTGACTAACTTAATTTTTAAGCAAACCTAACATCATTGTACTTTACCTTTTTGGTACCGTTAGTTTTTCTTCATCTGAGGTACCTTCTCAATAGATATTCTCTACAAACCTTATGATTAAAGTATTTAATACAAGTCTTTTGAAAAGTTGTGTTTTAACTGAAATCTTTTGATAGATGCTCAAAGTGTTTATCATCTAAACCAAGTCTTTAAGACATTTTTCGTAAGAGAAAATGATTAATTTAAACCTTTTTGAATAGAGACACAGAATGTTCATCTTTTTACTTATGATGAACAAGACTCTTGGTGCTAAATGGTAATTCAAATAGATTGATTGATGTTTTGTGAAGCTTCTAAACTGTTAAGCTTAGACAATCTTTTGAGTAATTATAAACAACTTTTGAGACACTTAAATGATCTTATTAGCACACACATAAGAACTTTTTTTGTACTAAATTTTGAAATTAAGAGTTTATTGTTATTGAAATTTATATTTAGGCAACATTCAACGATAGAAGTCTGTTAGAACTTTACAATATTATTTATTATGTGTCTAGTAAAATTTTTTCAATTAAAATTATTTTTTCTAACAATTTTATATCAAATATATTATATATTTATTAAAAATTAGAAATTTATGAGGGAGAGGGCTAGGCCCGTATATGTCTCTCTACATCAGTTTCTGAATGAATCAAACTAGTTTAAAAATAATTCAAAACTCAATTTGTTTCATAAGTTAAATGGATCAAACTTGAGTTAAAAGTTGATCTCGATAAATAAATGAATTAAGCTTAAGTTGCATATAGTTTGTCTCATTTGATCAACATATAAAATATTTAATTTATATAATTAACTTTTTTATTTAACTATAGTTTATTAAAATTTGAAAGGACCTTCAAAACTTTAATCATATAAGAAGTGTGTATCTTAGGATTTCATGGTTATAGTGAATTAGATTTTCTATCATTTTATTTAAGGTGAAATATTTTTTATTCATGCAAACTTTGGTTGTAATTATATTTTTTGTTACACCTTACAAAACTAATAAAATAAGTTATACTTAGTCTTCCTAAAAAAAAATTAAAAATAATTATTTTATCTAAAATCTATTAATAAATTAAAAATATGAAATGTACAAGATTCAAAAAATTGACTTAACAAATATTAACGAGTCTCAATTTGACTCATTTTAAAATCCAATTGTAACTAAATATCAAAATAAAATATATATTTTATCTTTAAAATCCAAATATTATACATTTTTTTTAATATTTGGTTCAATATTTTGTTTACCTTTTATCTTTTTCAACATATAATTTTCATATTTATTTAATTTCTCATCTTTGTGAGAATATCATTTCATATTTGTTTCAATATTTTTTCAAAAGAAGATTATTATAATTAAAAATAATTTTATATTACAATATAAATTATTTATCATAAATCTAAAATTTAATTAATATATTTAATGAGGATTCTTCCTAGCCTAATAGGACAAAAGAGCAATCAATTTTAACTCTTTTAAGATAGGTTAAGAAAACATATTAAATATAAATAAAAAATATTATAAATTTAGTTAATATAAAATAAATAACTATCTTATACATTACGCATAAAAAATGTTAATTTAATTCAAATTTTATACATAATCAACCAGTCAAAAATAATAATTAGTAGATCTTTTAATATAGTTATCATATTAAAAATCAATAAACTTATAGCGTTAACATCATACATTGTTTACTCTATTATTAATTACATTTTTAATAAGAATAGTTTACTGACTTGAATTCATTTAAAAAAAATTCTTTTTTTAATATAAACTTACTAAACAAAGTATTGATTTAAAATTATAAACTTAATTAAAATACACTAATAACGTAAAAGTTATTTATTACATTGGTATCTGATCATAATAACGTGTTATATATAATAACATCCTATATATATTTTATATTATATTCTTTATATTGATTGCTTATTAAAATTGAACTCTGAAATTATACAGACGGTACATGGATAAATAATATGAATTTAATCCAAAGTATGAATATTTGTACTCTATCAGTCAGTCCTAATATCTCTAAAAAGTCCTTATCCCATGTGTGTATATTATGACTCGGAGTTGAAATTTCTATGATTGAGACTACCAAATCCATCACATGCTTCACAGTGAAATCACAATGGACAAATGCAAAAGTGAAAGTAACAAATTGAGTCCTCCTGTGGGCACTATCAAAATTTCATTACACATGAATGAAGAAATGAAGCTGTACAAAAAATGTGCTTGCTGCTTGCAGCATGCAAGAATGCAAAAATGAGTAATCCAAATAATTGTCTTATAGGAAAGAATATGACTCAATCTGATATAGCAATGGCTAATCACTTTTTCATGGCCTTCAAGCAGGAACTCAATAATATGAACCTTTTGTTGAAAAGTACCAATCACATGACTGCAGTTTTTCCGTTGATACTCATAAGGGAGAGACAATCCGAAAGGGTCTCAAGATCAGGACAGGGTTTGGGAAGAACAGAATCTGAAAAACCGTAGACATTTGAGCATTTCCAAGTGATGGAAGAAAGAGAATTTAGAGACAAAGTTATGTTGGAAAGGCATATGTTGGTGAAGGGAGATTCTTGTAGTCCTGCAAAGTTTCCAGCAATAGTGATGTTTGTGCCTGTCATATCTTGCAAAATAATGTGGTCCAAAAGTGGGAGAGCATTAGGATCAAATTTGTCATCAGGATGAGATCCACAATTACCTGTGGCAGCTATTGCTGTGTATATATTCTCCATTTCTATGTCTGTTACAATGATTTCCTTCATGTAACCACCTCTTCCCCTCATGGTTCTGAACTCAATGCCACTATTTGAGTTGTAAAGATGAACATTCTCCACGAGAATATTTGAAATGCCACCAGACATGTCACTGCCAAATGCAATAGTAGAGCCAGAATAGGCCTGCAGATGCACCCTTCTGATGTGTACATTCTCAGTTGGCCTGCCATAGGCAATGCCATATTCGTCCCAGCCACTTTTGAGGGAAATTGCATCATAGCCAGTTGCAATGAGACAATCCTCTATGCAAACATGATCAGAAGAATCTGAAAACATTTTTAAGTGCACAAGAATTAGCTATATGACCACCACAGGTAACATTTATTATAAGAGAGAATGTTACTAATTTTCACAAAATTGACCAAATATAAATTCTATAATATGTAACACACCTGGTACTATGCCAACAGTATAAGGGGATTCTGGAGGAGCAGAAATTGAAATATTGTGAATATGTACATTGCTGTGTCGGAGTACATTATACATATAACAAATCAATATCAGTTTCGGAATACATTATACATATAACAAATCAATATCAGTTTAGCTATCAAAAAAGTATAACTTAAAAGTAATCTAGAAGCAAAGAAAATACCTGCAATAAACTGGGTGGATGCTATATGCAGGAGCATTCAAGAATATAAGATTTGAAACAACCACATGATGAGATGCCACTAGTTCAATCAGATGAGGACGACTGTAGTTAAGGGAATGAGAGCTAAACAATTCCCACCAAGCCAATCCCATGCCATCAATTGTTCCACTATTGCCTAGTAATAACCCATAAAGATATGAAAATTCAAGCCATGTAAAAATCCATGAAAAGAGGGAAAATAAAAGATATTGGGAGTGGGAAAAACCTGTTATGACCACATCATGTAACATATACCCATTTATTAAGCTCTGATATCTTCCCCCAGGAACTTCAACTCCTCGGCCATAAGAAGGTAAGGGATCAACAACTTCCCAGTGAAATGGATCCTATTAAAATAAGAATGTCATGCATCAAAGTCAAGAACAAGAAACAACACTTGCGTTTAAGAGTAACCCCTAGAATGGAATATGTTACATGTAATCATTTACTGTCCTGGTGCACAAGAATTCAGTAAAAAGGACAATTTTCAAAAGCTAGTAAAATAAAAAGCAAAAGGTGTAGTACCTGAGATCCAAGAATGTTAGCACCTTTTTCCAAGAAGAGTGTAAGATGACTAGTAAGATTGAAACTTTGAGTGAGCCATGTTCCGGGTGGCACATATAACTGAGCACCACCTTTGTCGGCAAATGACTTGAGATAGAATATGGCATTCTGGAATGCAATAGTGTTCAACGTTTTACCATCCCCAACCGCGCCGAACTCCAAGATTGACACAGTGTGTGGTCTTGGTTTTAGTGCCAGATTATGCTCACATTGTCCACCATCACCATTAACTCTGACATCATTGCTCAATGCCAGCAGCAATAGCAATGCCACCTGAATGAGGATTTAGTGAGGGAAATCAAAACATTGATTCATTCTCACAAATAAGGCATCCTAGTATCCTACAAATACAATAATTAATCACAGATTCATAGAATTATGTCCTAGATTGATTCAAGACAAATAAATAGATAAAGAATCTTCTTCTTGGAACAAATAATTCACTTTCCATTACTCATAAGTATTTCCGACAGGAATGCACAACTAACTACCTTAGTTAACAAAAATACTGAAAGTGAAGAAATTCATAGCAAAGACAATAATAATTTAGCAGAAGGTTAATCTTCATCAATAATGAACTACGAATACTATGTGTTAATGAATTGAAAGCAATTGACAAAGACTTGGAACAGAAAAACTGATGTATTACAGATCATAAAGATTTTCATTGGAGTGAAGCCTGGCATCGACATCAATACCATTGCCTATGAAAGGAACAAGACCAAACTGTATAAACCCAAATGGAATAAAAAACAAGGGATAAACATATACACCAACCCAATTACTCAAACATTTAAAATCTATTTAAAGATTTAGAATTGAAAACAAGTTTCCTTCACAGTTATCAAACCAAAAGCAATACAAGACAATAAGACGAAAACAAAATCAAGAAGAGAAACGTACGTACTAGCATGTTCTTGGGTCAAAACTTCTGACAGCACGGTGCTAGAAGAAACAAAGGTAGTGTGGCAAAGCACCGAGAAGAAAAAAAAAGTGTAGACAGAGAAAGAATATTGAGAGGGTGGAAGAAGAAGCAAGGTGAAGAGAAGGACAGAGACAGCTTTATGCAAGTTAGTGAATATATTATAAGCATTAATCATGTAAATGACAGAAAAGGAGAGGATTAATCGTCCTTTCTTCTCTGACATGTACGCACACTTTTATATGTATATATTACCAAAACATTTGTAAATTTAGATCATATCATTATATATGGATACTAATTAATAATTATATAATTACATTAGCAGTTGTTTTGCTTTATATAGGATTATACATTTTTTGGTTTATATTATTTTACTTTTATATAAAATATGGTAAATAATAAATATAAATTAGTTTTTAATTCGAATCTTGATTCATTAATATACAAGAAATTAAGTGATTATTTGAAATATATACATAATAAACTTTCTTGTAATTAAGGATGAAAATATATCATGTTTTAAAGAGGAGCTTGTGATCTAATTTATTTAAAGTTTAACCTGTCTTGATTTATTTAATAAAAATGTCATATTTAAACTTTTTAAAAAAATTATTTATTTAAAAAGATTAAACTTAAATTTATAAAAAAAAATATATTAAATGTTATAGGTCAATTTATTTATCTATGTTATATAATAAAAAATAATATATATATATATATATATATATATTTCTAATAATATTATTAAATAAATAAATTTGTAATATATAAGTTTAAGTTATTAATATTTTTACATTTTCACTACGCTTAAATATTTTACATTTTATTTTTATGAAATAAAAAATCAAAAATAAAAAAACTCTAGTAATTGCTTCTTTGTCTATTTTTTTCCTTCACATTCATGATTAATTATTTGGAATATTTTAAGAGTTAATCACCTATATACTGTTAGTGTAAAAAAAATTTACACTGGCAACCAATCATATATTTAATAGTGTCATGTTATTTGCTTATTTAATGAACTAAAAATAAAATAAAATAATTTAAAAAATATGACTGGTTGTCCATGTAAATTTTTTTTACACAAACAGTGTATAGATGATTAACTCATATTATAAATGGATTAGGATTTCGAAAGACTATTTTAATATGAAAAAGTCTTGTAGATTTTAATGAATTTTAAAAAACTTTGAAGGAATGTTGTGACTTTTTAAAACATGAAATTTAACAGAGTTTAGATTTTAATGGATTTTAACAAATTTTGATGGATTTATATGTAAATTCTACTAAAAAAAATCTAACAAAAGTCATTCTTCAAAATAATAAATTGAAACTCTATGTTTTTTAATGTCAGTTGACTAAAAAGATCACTGAAGAGAAAAAAAGGAGAAACAGAAAGAAAAGATAATATGAGAAAAAGAAAAAGACATGAGAAGAAGGGTGGGGGAGTGAGTTATATGTAAATTATATTAAAAAGTCTCACAAAAATCAATTTTCAAAATAATCAATGAAAATCTCCGTGTTTTGAATACCAATATTTTTTTAAGTGAAAAAAAAAATCTTAATTAAATATCACCATATTTTTATGTACTTATAAAAAAAATTATTAATTATCTTAATTAAATATCATGTGATTTTTTTTATATTAAATAAATTTTTTTGATTCAATATAAAAAAAAATTGTAATAAAAAAATTCTTTAAAATCCTTAGAAATCTCAATCCAACACATCCTATCAGATTTTTTTAACATAAAATGTCTTTTTTTTGTTATAGTCAAAGCATGAGTAGGATATGCATGAGTTGTAGCTTTTACATTCCTTTTATTATTTATTTTAAACTCTAAATTTTAATAATAATATAATCAAGTATTTTTATGGTGCAAATTAAATATACTCACATGTACTTAAAAATAGATTGTTGGCTCACTTAAAACTAAGTTCATTGAGTTATTTAACTTTGTTAATGTAAAACAAGCTAATAGGTTAAATTAGACCTTTAAAAAAGTCATGTCAAATTTATTAAAAAAAAAAAGTTTATGATAATTAATATATTAAATTTAAACTTTAATTTTATAAAACATATTTGACTTGTATATTTAAAATCTCACTTAACTTGACTTACTCTCATTCTTAATTGTTTATATGATTTAATATAATAAAGAATTTTAAAAAATATTATGTTGTTAAATGCATTTAAAAATATAATCTACAGTAAAATTATTAATTTTTGAAAAATTACTTTATAAATTATATATAAAATAATTTTTAATTGATTGATTATACAAAATTATTTAAAAAATTTTGATTAATAAAATTTTATTTTATTTAAATTTTATTATATCAAAATGATTATAAAAATTATTTTATACTAATTACTTTAAAAATCATATAATTTTTATTTTTGAACTTTAAATTAAATCAAATGTTATTTAATATATAATCATATTATTGTAAATTAAATAATTTAAATTTTATTTATATACAATGTTATTGAAATATATTATATATTAATTTAATTTATTGAAAATATACAATGAAGTGATTTTAATTTGTATAATTACATATGTAATAAATTATTTTAATTTATAATTAAATAATTAATATAAAAATATATCCTTTATATATAGATAATTACATTATTATACAGTTACAAATTGTCATGCATGAATTAAGTATGATAAATTAGTTAATTTGTACACTAATTATTTTTAAAAAATACATTAAAAGTTGCAAATTAGTTAAAAGTAAGTTTATATTTAATTAAACTCGGTTATCATTTAACAACACATTTTTGAAACAATGTTTATTCGATTCCATAAAGATGTCGCTTTCCTTGCTAACAGATGAGAATTTCTCAAGTAAAAAACAACAATGATATTGGACATCCTTTAATGTCAAACATTTTATTAACATCAATTAATTTTCTTTAATTCCCCTTTTTTTATTAAATTATATCATTTATTATATTTATATTTCTTATTTTTTTTATAGGTGTTAAATAAGTTATTATATTGAGTATTCACAAATATTTTTGAAAAAGAAATTGGCATTAGAAAATGAAAAAAAAAATGCTTCAGTGTGTGAGATGGGAGAGGGTGTATGGGGTGAGTGAAGTGAGGGAATAAAAAATGGAATAATAATGTGGAAATGGACAGAACACTAAGGAGAGTGGACCCCACACCAATCATCAATTGCTAGCCTGGCGTGCCCGATTCACGTAACTCAACTCAACACTCTTATCATAATATGACTTTCTATTCACCAAAAATACAATCATACAAATCACCTTATTAATATGCATAAAACATCTATAGATGTATTTTTAATAAACTAATCTCGATGGATGAATATATATATATATAGTTTATATAAAAACGATTTCTTATTTTAATGTATACATTATTTTTAACAATTTAACCATTTTAAAAAATTGTATGAATCACAAGACAAAAAAAAAAGAGTCTTTTATTTTATAAAAAAATTATCTATTAATGACTGCACAATACTCCTACTAATATGTGTATTTAAAAGACATGGTGGATTCACGATTGTCTCTTTTCCACCAATGACAAATAATGTTATACAATCATGTTCAATTATTCATTCACTAGTGTAAAAATTGGATTTAAAATCGGAGTTTTAAGATCGGTTACAAGATAACCGATCTTAAAAGTGAAGCGGTGACAATTTTGTAAATAACATGAACACTTTTAAGATCGGTTGAAATTTAACCGATCTTAAAACTTTTTAAGATCGGTTAAAATAACTGATTTTAAAAGTACTTTTAAGATCGGTTATAAAAGAACCGATCTTAAAAGTGGCACTTTTAATAAAGGTTATAATATAACCGATCTTAAAAGTGTCACTTTTAAGATTGGTTCTTTTATAACCGATCTTAAAAGTACTTTTAAAATTGGTTATTTTATAACCGATCTTAAAAGTGTCGGTTCTTTTATAACCGATTTTAAAAGTACTACTTTTTTTGAAATCAGTTATTTCAAAACCGATTTTGTATGTAGTATACAAAATCGGTTATCCCAGAACCGATTTTAAAAGTATCGTCAGAAATCTTTTATATTCCTGCATTTTCATTCTCTTCAATCTTTCCCTGAAGCTCTCATTTAGTCTCCAATAAGGTAAATTTCGTTGTCTCTTTCGTTTTCATTTTCGTCTTTTCATGTTCTTCTTGTGTTTCTTTTTGTTTTTTCATGATTTCTCGTTTCTGTGTTGTAGATCTAGTTGTGTTCGAAACTAGAACGGCCCGTTCTGCAAGGAGAACAGCCCGTTCTCCAAGCAGAACAGGCTGTTCTGCTTGGAGAACGGGCTGTTCTCCTCGTAGAACGGGCCGTTCTACTTGGAGAACGGGCCGTTCTCCTAGCAGGACGGGCTGTTCTGCTTGGAGAACGGGCCGTTCTCCAAGTGGTCTTTTAGGCCTTCCGATCAGACTGGAACGGGCCGTTCCGGTTTTGGAACGGTCGTTCCAGTTTAATTTTTTTTTCCACATCCGGACTTTTAAAATCGGTTATAAAACAACTGATTTTAAAAGTTAACTTTTAAAATCGGTTGTTTAACCGATTTTAAAAGTCTAACTTTTAAAATCGGCTCTTTTAAGATCGGTTCAAGAACCGATTTTAAAAGTCAAAAATAACCAATTTTAAAAGTCTTTTTTCTACTAGTGATTATTATTAACCAATCTAGAAATAGAATTAACTACATAGGTTCATTTCTGAATGACTCATTGTATGTTTGGAACAACAGTAAACCCACGTCGCATCACATTTGTTTCTATCACACCAGAAGACAGAGGTAGGAATTAGGAGTTAGGAATTGAAATGCATTGCATTGTGTATTTGCTTCCAATGATTGCTCGTGTGTGGGGTAGTGCATGGTGTGAGCAGCATTAATAGCACATAACATAACCTAGCACCTGCTATATTCTAATTATTAGCAACCCGCCAAATTAAAGTCATGTTTGGTGTTCAATACTGTGAGTTGACAGATGTTCCAAATTACAATCTCTCGCTTAATGGAAATAGATCAGCAACAAAATTAGAAAAGGAGAGTAGGGATAAAAATAAAGACACTTATAATTTATTTGGAAAATTGCTCATTGAATATATATAAGGGTTGGCACTTAAGTCGTCGCACTTACGTGTAGGTATAGCCTTAGATGCGAGT